CCTTTTTTTTCATACTAAGGATGAAGCATTTCCTCCTTCCTCCCTGACCACTCATTCGCTGGCAAGCAAAAGATGTTCTTAAAATCCTGGGAGCCTATTTTTCCATATTCCATTAAGGAATGACTTTGTTCATGCTTTCCATTCTGAAAAATGACTTTTGGGATGACACAAAGTAGAGAAAATCATCCCAAAAGAGAATGCTTTTATGAACGCTGGAACCTCTGAAAGGTCAGGACAAGACATCTAATGGAAATGTTAACTGTTAGGATATCATAGTGCTGAAATAATACATAAAACAGCAGTTAGGATTTGAAAATCTGTAGAAATAGTCCATGTTTTAATGTTTGGAAAGGCTTTTCTAGGCCTGACATAAGATAAAGTTTAAGGAAATTTATGTCAAGTATCTAAGATGTTAAAATATAGGCTATTCCTCCCCTTTACCTTGGTTTTATAGCACTGGATTTCTCACCTCATAATTTCTGCCTATTGAAAATCTAATAATCTTCATGGATGTCACGCACTGACACTACCAGGTCAAAACCAAAAAGAGAAATAGAGCAGCACTGTCTTATCATTTTTCCCTTTAGAAAGCACTCAACCAATAAAAACTTTGCTCTATTTAAGAGTATGAAGATACACAGGTGTTGCATAAAGATTAACCAGAGAAGTAACTGCTCTGCTGCACACACCCCCAAGGAACTCACAAAGACACAGCTCCAGCTGAAGTACCATACACTGAACATCAGCCTTCCTTCATTTGTAGGAAAGCTGGTTACAGGAACTCCACAGGAAACTCACAGGGAGACAATTATCTCCCCAGTAAGTTGGTAGCTTCAAGACAGCCTGGAAATGCTGAGCAGCCTCCATCTCCCAAGCTCTCAACTGGCTTCGAGGGCCTCAAGTACTCCCTGTGTGAACAGCATACTATGGATTCCTCAAATCAGCTCTGAAACCTTCAATTCTCCCCTAGAGTACAGGAAAGAAAGGGAAGAAAAAACACTTCCATTATACAGGCTACAGAAATGAGTGTAAAGCAGGGACCAGCTTGACATATCAGAGGAGACGCCAAAAAGCCACTACAAAAGATATTTCCCACACAATCACGTAATCCCACTTACTCAGAAGACTAACATATAACCATGCCTACAGAACAAATTCTGGGGTACATCAGAAGAAAGTTACTCACTGACAACACGCAAATATGGGTTGCTAATGGATCCACCTGAGAGCTACAACGGCATAAAGCCTGTAGAAAATGGAAGGGTTAGTACAGAAAATACAAATGCTTCCCTACAAATTGCTTTCACTTCTAAAATTAAGTTCTTATGCTGGACCTACCGTAGTTTACACAGCCACTTCAGTGCAACTGCAGAGGCATTAATTTGAATGCCTGCAATTAGCTGCCACCCAGATGAGCTAATTCAGTGTTACACGAGTTCATACTAAGAAAAAAATTAGTTCACAACAGTTACAGAAAGACAGCTAAAACCTAGATGTCAGCCTAATCAATCTCAATTCTGAAGTGGCGTAGGAAGAGCTTTTAATCACGATTTTCAGGCTGTTCTGTACTCACCCATAGAGACTTCAAGAATGATTGAAACACACAAAAATACAGTGTAGAAGACTACAGACTAAGAGGCTTTTCCTTTCTTTGATGCGTTGTTCATATACCTTATGGATATAAATCTTTTTTGCGTGTGTTTTAAAATGTACATAATCCTCACACACACTAATTGTGAAGCATAATTCATAGCATCATCATCATCATAATCCACCAGTGTTTGAGACTGAGAACTGGAATTCTGGACATCTAAAACACAGGTGCTACTTCTCAGCTCACTGCTGAGGAGACAGGGTGCCTGCACTGTGGGGAGAGAAGGGAAAGAAAAGCATTCACAACAGCCAAGTTAAATCACACTCAGTATTAACGTGGACAGTGACTTCCTGACTAACATCTACAACCTTGTGTTACAACTGCAATATACTTAAAGTTAAGTCAGCCAACTCAATTATAGGAAGAAATAACCGTTTTTAACAACTGCTTTGAACTAATTGAGCTCTTCTGATACGTCATTTCCACATCTGTAACCTCATTATGTAATTAAGGAGAAGCAGCTTCAAATAAGTAGGCAGCAGTCAGGTATTTACCTGCTCTTAGTAGGCACTCATTACCTTGTTTTCTAGATAGCAGGTTTGGTCAAGCAAAGAATGCACAGGAACTGGAATTCACCTCTCCAAATAACAAGTGTAACATTGGAAGAATTATTGCTGCACCCATAATCTGACTGGCATGTCAGTGACTTCACCCATTTGCCAGCTCCAGCTGCATGACATGCACCTGGACCGTCCCTAAAACATTTGACTAACTGTTAAAACACCAGACAACAGGTAGGGCACTCCCTCCATAGCCCTTTCTGTGCTTTGCTCCCTTCATGCTTAGTAAGGGGTACTTAACATATGGCTAATCTGTGCAGGCTGATGCTGAGAAGCACAAGTGAGCCACCTGCCCCCTCTCTCAGCTTTCTCCTTCTCCTCAATGTTAGCTGGCAAAAAAAAACAAAACACACATTAACCACTCACATCAAACTGCACCCAGGTGAACCTGTGCCTATATGCATGACATGCACAGAGGAAGATTTGCTCTCCAAAACGTCCTGTACTTATTGGAAAACTTGGGCACAAAATCTTGCCTGCTCTTAGCAACATAGCTCCTTTCAACCTTTTTGTATTGATTATACTTTTTAAGTCTCTCCTCTTGTTTTCAGGGTCTCTCTCTAACTTGTCTCTCTCTTTGATTTTGGTAGGCAAGACAATGCCATAGCTGAGACCTCAGCTGATCTTCACAGAGCACACTTACATAGTTTGTGTGTAGTAACCTTGCTTATACAAACAAAGCAAGATGGGGCAGGGAGGGGTGAACCAGAAGACAAAAATAAAAAGAGAGGGAGGGTTGCACTGGGAGATGCACTCAATGCAATTATGCTACCACATCCTATTTCACTACTGCTACTATTTCACTACATCCTTTTTCACACTTGTTCCCCCTTTGTCTCAGGCATTAGATTTTTCCTCCCTTCAATTTGTTAATTCTCCACTTCACACCTTTATCTACTAAAATCAGCAAATTCAAACATGCCAAATTCTCTGTCAGTTTCCAAAATTTAAAGTCTCCTTCCACAATTCTGTGGAACAGAACAAGAAAGAGGAACCTCACACTATGAAATGCATCAAAAACAGAAGTCAAGAGAGCAGAACTGTTTGTGTCATTTTCAAAGAAACACAGACTGACAGTAAAACAGCACATCAGAGAGATCTCTGAAGAACAAAATAAATAAGATAGAACAGTAGGGAGATTTGGTCAGCAGCTTACAACTGAACATTAGACCATGCCCTACACAATGAGGTTGACTAATGGTGCACTTGTGTACTGACTTTCTCCAGGAAGATTTGTTCTTAACTCTCAGGTCCCTGGGTATGCCTCTCACATCAAGAAGACAGTGTGGTTTCTTGCACAGCTGAATTCTACTATGTTGCTTCCGGCTAGCATCACTAGAAGCTCTGATCAAATTGCCTGACTCTAGTAATTACAATCTCTACTTTCAACCCTCCCCACCATGCCCACTAACCATATCACTCACAGCTCTTGGCTCCATCACCTCCACTGCAGCCTGTTCCAATTCACTATTACTCCTTCTGAGAAGAAACTTCCTAATATTCAACGTGAACCTCCACTAGTGGAACCTGAGGCTGTCACATCTCGTTTTATTGCTCATTACCTGGGAACAGAGGCCAATCCATCATATTATGCCTGCATTGCTTCGAATACATGCAACCACACGCTCTCATTCCTGCTGCATTTATCCCACACGATTTTCGGGTTTTGCTCTTGCTCTAACTATAAATATGACTTCTGTACACAAACATTAAACATACAGTCACTACAGACATATACAGCTGCTCTTCTTGCAAGAGAATTACTAATATCTTAAACCAAACGCATTCTTTGGAAGAGAAGATGAGGACGTGCTTTCAGTTTCAGATGAGCACATCCCTTCTGAAGTGTATTGTTAATATCTACCCCTAGGCTGCATTCACTCAGAAACGTCCCCCATTACTTGCAGGAAGACAGACGAGAAACAAAACAGAAAGACAAGCTTCAGAATCATCAGCGCTAGCCAAAGAGGAGCCCACACACCAGTACTTCTCCTCCCAACAAGAACCCAACACAGAAGGGCTCAAACGAAACATTCTGTCTGTACGACCGCACTGCAGAGAGCTGCTGCGGCGTGGTTTTCACTTCCTGAGCGCTGCTGTGAGCTGCCAGTGACCCCAGCAGCACCCAGGCCGTGCTGCAGCTCAGCAAGGCAACCAGCACCCAGCGCACGGTGGAGGAGCCGAACCCGCAGAGCTCCCTCCCTAAAGGGCCGCGCTTCACACGGCACATGGCCGGCACACCGTCCTCTTCACCTTTCTGCGCGCTGCTAAACAAAAAGAAGAGTTTCTAAAACGGATTTGCTTCAGGTTTGACACTGAAAACTGCCTTATAAGGTATAAAAGCCTGAAAGCAGGAAGAGGCTTTGACAAAACTAAGGAAGTTCCTCTGCGCTTGCTCACTGGCGGGGGAGGGGTTCTTTTTTTTTTTCCCCCCTTTTTCTTCTTTTTTTTTTCCTCCCCTTCCACTGAGAGAAGTAACATAGGATAAATGACACGAGCCGCACGCACAGAAAATCACCGCCACGAGCGCGGCCGGCCGGCAGCTCCGAGCAGCGCGCTCCGCAGCAGCAGCAGCGCCGCCCGCCCTCAGCGGGGCTTCCACAGCGCCCGGCACCGCGCCCGCAGCGCTGCAAGCAGCGGGCACGGCGCCCGACAGCGGATGGGGCGAGGGGAGCGCGCCGCTATCCCGCCCGGCCCGGCCCTCCCGTGCCGCCGCACGCCCCTCGCCGCCATCTCCGACGGCAGCCGCCCCTCCCCGCCGGAACCCGGCTGTCAGTGGCGCTCACCCCGTGCCGCAGTCCACCACACAGGCCGGAAGCCGCCCTGCCATGCTCCTCGGTAGCGACGGTGCTGGGGAACGGCGGGCAGCCCTGGGCACGCTCCGGTTTCGCTCGGCTCCGGCTCGGGGGGCGAGGGCACTTCCGCAAGGCGGGCGCTCCTCCTCCCCGCCCGCACGCACGGCCCGGCGAGCCCAAGATGGCTGACCCGCCCCTCCCTGCGCGCGGCGGCGGCGAGGGCGGGCGCAACAAACTCTCGCTGACGTCCGATCTCGTGGTCGCGCCCCTGCGCGGCGGTACGAAGTGGAGCGGGCGGGAGGCTTTTTAAAATCTCAATTCCTGGCTGCCTGAAGGACTCCCAGAAGGAAGGCGGGGAAGACTGTATTTTAATGCTGGAAAGCCGAGAGAAGGCGGGGCAGACTTCTGTGGTGGGAAAAGAGTGCTAAAAATGACAAGATGATGGTTTCCTGCAGCCTCTGCCATTGCGGCTTTAGACAACTGCCCCTGCCAGGGCATGGAGAGCCTTCCCCATAGACGCTGTCATCAAAGGGCAAATGCAGAAGTCTCACTCTTTCTTCTGCTTTTTAGTGTTTCCAGAAGTGCTACAGATGCTCCCTGGCTTCCTTCAGCACTGTTAACAAGTAAAACACTGCCGTGGGAGAGAACCAGCTGCAGCTGACTGCCCAGCATCCTGCTTGCCTCCTGACATTTGAGTTCCTCAGATATCTCCTTACCCATAGGCATCCAAAGGAGTGGTCTGAGGTCCTCATCTTACCCTTCTGTCCACTAAATAAGACCTCTATGCTGCTATCTCAAGTCACAAATCATGGGCACTGCCTGGGTCAGCCATCCCAACAAAACCACCAAAGGGATCGATGGCATGCACCCCTTCTTGTGTTTAGTCGTAGGCCTGGGGCAGTGCTTTGAGGCAGGCTGGGAGGCTGTTTCTGACTCAGGATCATGAATTGCTAACAGTTTCCTGTACCATGCTGTTATTTTCTGCTGAGTGCAGCAGCAGTACATGACTAATTAGCTTCACCTCTATCAGCCTTTCACACGTGCAACATGTATGTTCTTTCCCTTTCTGTTACCCTCTCTTTCTTGTAAGCAAAAGCACACAAACCTTCAGCTAAGAGCTGATCATACGCTTGTCCACAATAGAGATGGCAGAAATAGGATGAATGGGTAAATTAAATTAATATATTCTCAAACTGCAGGACCAATGGCATTAGCTGTTGGCTGGAAACAGTGAGGGATGGGCAGCTAGGGGGTTGACTGTGCAGCTCATCCTATTCACATCCTCCTTTTGAAAATATTTTCATCCTAAAAGGGGCCAGCCTGCTGGGATTCTGGTCTTCAGGTAGAAAAAAAAAAAAAAAAGGGTGTTCGAAAAGTCACCCTTCTCCTTTTCACCTTTCACAGTGCTTTGGTGTTTTAAAGACAGACTGCTGTGTTCAGCAGATCTGGCCCCGTAATATTCTGTACACACACACTATTTTTGGTTGCTATCAATGTATTTTAATGTTTCAGCCCACGTGATATTGTGGGCTCTTCTCTGTCATTTACTAGTTGCTACAGCCTTAGCAATAGGAGATTTGGTGATGCAATCTGATGTCCTGCCAAAGACAAATTTGGTTGCCTATCCAAAGAAGGAGCTATTAGGGCTCACGGTTTCTTTGGGACTTAATGGCTTTAAGTAATGGCCCTTAATGGCTTTAATCAGCCTCACCAGAGGCCTCCACCCACACTCCCTGCCCCTGGGTGCAGGAGCCACATAAAAGCCCTGGGCTGTTAGCTCATAGACCTTAGTTGCATTCAGTTTGTGGTTTGACTATGGCTTCCTGGTTTGTATCTTAAATTTGCTTTGTTCCTACGCATCACTAGATAACCCTGGTGATCATAGGACTGCTTCTGACTCTCGTTGCCATTGCTAGCACTGTTCCTTATCTGCAGGCTGACCTTCTGGTTTGATTTTTGGACCTGCCTCAGGAGGTTGTTTGGTGATGCAAATCCTCTGCTTGAACCTGGTAGCTATCTTTGGGTTTACTCACCTCACTAGATACTGTGGGATATACTCTGGGTAGTGGGTCCCTGCCTTGTGACTTGTTATTGCACTTAGTTCTGTTTCCCTTAGAGAAACTGTCAACCATCTATGCTTCCTTGTTCAAGCATTGGTACTCCTCACTTACATTAAACTATCTTTAAATAAGGATTGCCTCATTCCTTGAGTTACCTCTACTGTAGGGTTAGGTAAGAGTCAGAACCAATGCAAGAAGAAGGGTTAAACTTATTGTCCTTGGGATTGAGATTGGAGGGAACAAAACATCCGTTTTTCTAGCTGCTAGAACACTTCCCTTACAAAGTCTAGCTACCATCTGGCTTCTAAGTGCTGCCATGGCTTCCTGAAGAACACAAGGAGTGGAGATACTCAGAATATTAATGTTTTTATTTTAATATCAAAGCAAATTATGAATAGAACAGCACTTTTTGCTAACAGAAGAATAATTTCACGACAGAAGTTTAAATCAAGCCCACAAACAATCCCCTTAAGGTACTCCATAGGAAACATCCTCCAGCTGGATTTACTTTACTCACTATCAGTAGGAGCATTTCTGTGAGGTTCAGAATACCGCACAGAAAGTGAAAGAAATCTCTCGCTATCAGTTTCTGTTCTTACTGAGGCTGTTTTAAGAATAATACTGTAAAAAGCAGCACTGTTGGGTTTTGTCTTACTAAATTATAGTTGAATTTACATTTGAGAAAACAAGAGATTAGGACTTCTCTCATACCAAGGCGCTAAGTCAGTTGAAGCTTTGCAAGAAAAGGAGTTGGAAGGCTAAACTCTCTGGCTGTGAGCTTGAGTTCTGTTTTATTAGTCTTCAAGTGGCTGTAGACCAAGGCCCCAGTCTAATAAACTAAAGGTGCAAGTTTTCTCTCTAAGTATTATTCCACTTTACCATAGACATGTTTGCTGTATCCTGCAGCAAAATTCAAATAGGTCAAGCTAAATTTTAATTCTAATTCCTGTACGGACCCTTTGTAGTTTCACGCATTGGGTTCTCAGTTATCTTGGTGGATATCTCAGTCAATGCTTTAGAGTGCTCTCATTCTCTCCAGCAGAACCAGAGTAAGCCTCGAAATTTCCTTTATCTGGAACTATCCTGTACAGCAGCCATGATCCACCATAAATCATCATTCAGTGATGGATCAGAGTCTACCTACTATAAACCCAGTTGAATTACAGGTGACCTTTTCCTGGATATCCACAATAAGATAATTACCACTGCAGAGCATACTCCTTGTATTGCTGTTACTGCTTTGAGGCAGTTCACAGTGTAAATAGAGAACGAGAGAATGCAGATGAATACAAATGCATAAGGAATGAGAAAAGTTGAGAAGAAAAGTGATACCATTAGTCAACAAGCAAACACAAGAGCAATCTAACAGCTTGACTTGGAGGGAGGTAATTTTCAGACAACAGCTTCATTCAATTTTATATTAAAAAATGTCTTGTGGCCCCTTTCTCATGATACTGCACAGCTTTGGCAGTATTGTGTACTGAAATTTCATGAGTCTTTCAGCTCGAAGAAGAGCACACCTAGGTAAAAGCATTACAGATCACATGCTGAGCTAAATGGGAAGCTTTTCAGCAGTCTTCTCAATCTAGATCATTTTCATGCAGGTAATGGCCTGCCAATGAGCATGCAGAAAGAGCAATGCTATGAATCCACATAAAGATCAAGGCACAGTGAAGTGCAAGGGGTAAGAAGAAACAAAAGGAAGAAAAAGGTGCCGGGGTGCAGGGATGTTGGAAATGCTGAGGAGAGTGTGATTAAAATAGGATGAGAACCTGATCTTGCCTGGGTCAGCACATTGCCATTCAGACTGGCATAAATTGAATTTAACAGGTGGGTTAATTTCCACTGCATCACACCAAATATCTTTTAAGCCCGGATAAAACCGACAATAAAAGCTAGAGAAACAATCAAGGAAAATCAGTTCAAGATTATCCATTAGATACAATGATGAGATGCAATGTTTATTGCATGTATTTCTTAAAAAGCACTTTGCTTAATAATTTATCCATCACGTTCTGATTATTTTACCGTAAATAAGTTTTAGTAATTAGTGGTGGAAAAATACAGAGAGCTAAAGAAGAAAACCCTATCTACTGTGATATTTGACGTATGTAGACTTCTTCCAGGAAGGACCACAAGCAAAATTATAATGTTACTGGTTGATTTTGGCATAGCTCTAGCAACAGCCATATGGAAGGCATGTAATTTCATGGAGCTGCACATGGCAAAGTCATTGCAATTACCAGGATCTCATTTGACATGGCTGCTCTCCAAGGTTTCTGACTTAAATGAACTATTTTATTTTCAAAATAACAAATGGGGGGGGGGGGGGGGGGGGGGGGGGGGGGGGGGGGAAAGTGCTAAGTGATAAGGATATAAGCAGGCTCCCATTTAATATTATGGTGATGACACCTCTAGTGCCCATTGTATTTGCTAGGAAGAGCAACTAAGAGTACATCAAAAGACAAACCAGAAAATATAAAGGAAGAATTTCACATCACAATGTGGTGACTTAAATAGGAATACTGATATTCGGAACAGAGGCAAAATGTGGAGGAGGAACTGTGAATTCTCATTTAAAGCTTGCATTTTCATTCAAAATTATTCTGTGGTCAATCATAACAAATACAACTTTTCTTTGATGATGTTTGTGAGGAAACTAGCAGTGGGATACTGCAGTATTCCCAGAATAGCAAAATGCCATAAACTTTCTGCCTTTGTATCTTATCCATACTGCACAGATTCCCCACAGTCACACCTTGGAGCAAGGAAGTAGTAAAGCGTAGCTTGGCCCTGATCAGAAAACCGGTATTTTCTCATCTAATATAATTAACTTTCCTTATGTGTTCCAAATATATATATATATGTGTAAATTTTTCTGGAACAAATGTGTATTACTACCTTTTTCATAGTATTTCTAGATGCTATATGCTTAACAGAAGAGAATGTCACAGCTTTGATTATTTACTTGCCTTAGTGGCTGGATGGATGTTAGGCATCTGCTTTTGTGTTCACCTAGTCACAAAGCATTGATGGACGTAAAATTAAAGATAACTTGCAAACAGATGTAAAACACCTTAT